GCTGGGATTACAGGCATGAGCCCCTGCACCCAGCCTAAACATCAATTTTGTGTTTTACTTCAACCAATTTGGAGACTAGCTAGAGGTGACTTTGTAATGTTGAGCATTCACATTTCTTATGACTCAGCAGTTTTTCTCCTAAGTGGATTCCCAAGGGAAACTCCTTCACTTGGACTCTCAGGAGATGCTATGAGAATGTTCATAATAACCCCACTTATGACAACAACAATGGAAATCACCCAAAAGCCCATAGACAAGAAAATAGATAAATAATTGGTGGTCTGGAAATTTATGAAGCTATGATAAATGAATGAATCGCATCTAAACACAAACATTTGAAAGAAACTTAATTATATTAATAAGAGATGAAAACAACCAAGTCCTAGAAGATTATATAAAACTTGGTGCTTTTTAAATGAAGTTAGTTTTTAAAAAACATAGACATCGAAGTCATGGCACCAAAAAATAAAACTAAAAAAATAAAAAAACAAGTAAACAAAAATAAATAAAATAAACAACCCTGAAGAACACACACAAAAAAGCAAGAAAATTATAAACCCAATGTTCATCATTGTGTTTTCCTTGGATAAGGAAAAGTGGCCAGGAAAAAAAAATACAGTTAAGTATAAAGTATTGTCTGTATTCTGGTGCTTGGGTTGGAGGGTGGTTTCTAGCATTAAACCACCTGTTTTAACACCATGATTTTTTATTTCCCCCTGTATGTGGAGACTTCCAGGAGATAGGCTCAAAGGTGACTCTTGAAGGATTATTTGGGTCCAGGGGCAGATATACTCACTTTTGTATTTATAGTGCCTGTATACAACGCCCAGCAAAACCCAAGTCCTTAGTAAGGTTTCCTGAATGAAAGTGAATGAGTGAATAAATTATAGAAAATTCGAAAGTATTTTTGGGTAGTTTTGAGTGTTGCCTGAATAACCTCTCACCCCAACACTTTACAGTAACCCATACACACATGAAATTATGTAACTGATTTCCTTCCTAATTTGTTGGGAAAAAAATTAACATTCTCCCTGAGTAGTAAACAAGCACGTAGTATTTTTCCATATAGAATATTCTATGACACCCATCAGTACTGATCTAGGTAGGGAGAAAATGATTCTGAATCCAGCAGAGTACCAAAAAAAGCTTTTTAATGCACTATTTGTTTTCCAGGCAAAAGAACTTCAGAAAATATCCATCATTAAGTAAACTTACAAATGGCACTTTTGGCTACATAGGAGAATCAGATATGAGACCCATGTGTTTTTGCTGATAAGCTAGTAGTAGTTCAGCTTTATAACACAATCCTTTCTTAGGATAAAAAATGGCTAATTTGTTTTAAAAGACAGGAAAAGTTGAAACCCTAAAGTCATTGTTCTAAAAAATGTCACATTTATTTTCATGCTATACACCTGTGTTTTCATACAACAATTTTAAGTATTATGACATAAATATTCATAAGAGAATCAAGTAAATTTCGACCTAATTTTAAAATAAAGATATATATTAAGTATCTTTATTGTTTATTAATGCATTTGACAATACCATATGCTGTCTTTGATGACAAATTTCATTTTCGTACATGGCAGATTTGTCCTTTTGGTACTGAACCGAAGAAAAATATATCACATCTGAAATTCTGCCTTAATAAGTGAGTAAAACCGTGGTCAATTACATCAATAGATTTCAGCCAACTAGCAAAATGGAAGTGTTTTAGTCATTCTTATTATTTATAAAAAATGAAACAAGATTAATAGTCAACAGGAGAGAATAGCTAATATCACCAGTTTAAAACAGGTCTTTGACTTTTTTTGAAATAGTGTCTTGCTCTGTTTTCCAAGCTGGAGTGCAGTGGTGTAATCACAGCTCACTACAGCTTCAACCTCCTAGGCTCAAGCTCTCCTCCCATCTCAGCCTCTAAGTAGCTAGGACTACAGGTGCGTGCCATCACGCCTGGCTAAGTTTTTACTTTCTGTAAAGATGGGGGTCTCACTATGTTGCCTAGGCTGGTCTCAAATTCCTGGGCTTAAGTAATCCTACCATCTCAGCCTCCCAAAATGCTGGGATTATAAGTGCAAGCCACTGCGCCCAGCCTAAAATAGGACTTAAAGCAGATTACTTATACCACATATTTGAAAGAAAAGAATATTTGGAAATGTAAGATATCAATCTGAACTGAAATCATTTTTAATATTAATTCCTGTCTCTCCAATGCAGCCACCTTTTATATGATAGTGTGAAGCTGATCACATCTAATCTATGCAAAGATGGGTATCTTCACGTTATCCACCATTTCTCAACTAGTCTCTAGATTAATTTACACAATTATTTAACAGAGATTAATAAAACATCAGACAATAGAATCAACCCAAAAGGCAACAGCATTATTCTTCCTACAAGGGAACATGGCTTTCAATTTGTGCATCCTATGCTAATATGCTAATGAAGAAACAAAAACTACTTTCATCACTGTGGCAAAAACATAAACACAAATGCCTGGAAAATCACCATGCTGGCCAGGCTAGTCTCAAACTCCTGACCTCAAGTGATCCACCTGCCTCGGCTTCCCAAACTGCTGGGATTACAGGCATAAGCCACTGCACTTGACTGGGTTTTTTTCTTTTTTTATGTATTTACTTTTTTTTTTTTTTTTTTTTTTGAGTCAGAGTCTCTCACTGTTGCCCAGGCTGGAGTACTGTGGCTTGATTTTGGCTCACTGCAGCCTCCGCCTCTTTGGTTCAAGTGATTCTCCCACCTCAGCCTCCCAAGTAGCTGGAATTACAGGTGCACGCCACCACACCCAACTACTTTTTCTGTTTTTTTATTAGAGATGGGGTTTCGCCATGTTGGCCAGGCTGGTCTTGAACTCCTGGCCTCAAGTGATCCGCCTGCTTCGGCCACCCAAAGTGCTAGGATTACAGGCGTCAGCCACTGTGCCCCACCCTTGAAGTGAGTTTTTAGACAACAATAGAGAGCTGACACACTGCTCCGTGGCAGGAATTGTACTAGGTGAAGAGAATACCCTGGATAGTAAGACAGCCCCTGCTCTGAAGATGCTTAGAGTCTACTTAGGCAAACAGACAGTAACAGGGAAATTTCAAAGTAAATGTCATCAGTGCTCTAACGGGGCACGGGGAGGACTTCAGGATCCATAGGAATTTAGAAAAGAGGCATCAATCCTAGAACTGGGGAGCTGGTGAAGGCTTCTCAGAAGAAATAATTTCTAAAGGGAATTTAGATGAAGAAAGAATTTTCCAGGCAACAGTAAGACAGAACATTCTTCTTTCCACGAAGAAGAAAGTACATGTGCAAAGGCTGGAGGGAGTGAGATAGGGCCCCCGGGGAAGTAGGGGTAGTCATTTTAATTGCTGTGTAAAGATATCAGGGGTGGGCTGGAGGAGTAGCTAAGGGAAATCTCTCATGGCCTTAAGAGATTCCCTGGAATTTGGCCTTTAAACCTAGGGTGATGGGAACCAAAGAAGGAAATCCTCCATTCCTTCTTTCCTTCCTTCCTCACGGGCAAGAGGAGGTTGTGTGCAATAGATATGAAGGGATGCTTCTCTGGTGCTTAGGTTGGCTAAAGGGAAGTTCTATTATGCCAGGGTCCAAGATAATGGGTAAAGCAGGCAAGAAGAAGATGCCATTTCTGGAAAGCCATTCCTTCTTCTTTTGTCACTTAATGAATACCTGAGGGCAGAAAGCAGTTAAGACTCATCTTTTAAAGATACTATAAAAATTTTTTAAAGCGAGTGGTAAGGTTTCCCACTTTATTAGTTTTGTGGCCTTGGGCATATGACTAACCACTTTACGAGTCAGTTTCCTCATTTGTGGAGATAATGATTGTATTGACTTCACAGGCCAATAAGGACAAATGGCAGAAAGTTTTAGCACAGAGCCTGGCTCCGAATAAACCCTCAATATAAGGTCCTTACATGGGGAAAGGCTGAGGGGAGAAACATGGGATTTAGCATTAAACCTGTGTTTGCATTCAGCCTCCATCACTTAGTAGTGCTTGCAACTGTGTGAACTTAAGAGACCATTTTAAAACTTGCTCAGACTTAGTTTCCACATCTGAAAAAATGTGGATGTTAATACCTACCTTGCAAGGTGGTGATGAGGGTTAAAGATTATCATAGATATTAAATGCACAGAGCCTGCCATATAGTACAAACGCACACCCACACAGAGGTGTTAGTATTTCTCAAATGTATATCAACAGTATTACTGTTAGACATTCTCTGTCACTCCAAAATCCTATTCTCTGACTAAAGCTACAAATCAGTAAAGTTAGATTATCAGAAATATATATATCTATATCTATAACATATTTAGCACAGTAGGTCCATTCCAGCAGTACCTGTACATTATGATAACCTAATACAAAGAAATGGCTGTGGTATGACATTCATGTTTTGTTAATACATGATAAAAAAAATTAACCTCTTCATTCAGATCCATTATTTGGAAGGAAGAATTTAGTATTCCCTAACTCCCTAATTTGGCACTTCGAGGAATTTCCTCTGCACACCAAGCCCCGAAATGTACTATTTTCTAGGCCAAAAATGAAAACATGCATATATACAAGTGAGCTAAAAAGTTACAACAAAAGATGGTCATTTTGGTGAAAAATAATTCCCCCAAATAAGCAGCATGTCATGTCCTTAGAATATGTTACACTAGAAAGCTAGTAAAAATTCAAGCTAAGGAGGCAATTTAGAGTTCAAGTTTTATCACATATCAGCAAAGTTTTAGACTTCCCTTAAAAACAGATATCTTCAAAGTGAAATCTTGCCGGAAGGGTTGGTTTTTTAATTACGTGGATATACAAACTTCTCTGTTTTAACATTCAATGTATTCAAGATTAAATCTAGAAAGCTGCTATAGCTGATTTATAAAACAAAATGATTTTAGGCTCAGAGAGAAAATAGGGACAGACAATTTTATGCAGTCTCTCCCTATCTACCGTCGCCCATAGCATCACCAAGTTTTTGGGTTTTTTTGTTTTTTGTTGTTTTTTTTGTTTTTGTTTTAGCTAATGCCGCAGTTGAAACCTGTACTAACTTAAAAGTTGACACTAAAGGCAGGAATTAAGATGTCATTTTTTATGGCTTTTAAGCACTCGAATGCTTTAGAACCCCCTTGAAAAAGCTAGTGAACAGGTCTTATTCCTTTGGATGTTGCTTCAATTTTAATCTTGGTGAAATCTAGATTCCCTATTAAAAAGATCCATGCTAATTTTGGAGAAAGTACAATTAAAAACCCTTAACGACTACTCTCTTGACTCTGAAGAAGGAGACTTTAGCATATTGCTGTTTGGACTAGAGAAGCATTTCAACGCTTTTCTGCAAACTAAGATAAAAAACAACGAACGAGACCTACAAATAGAAATCTAGTAAGGCAGTTCTACCATGTAGGAAAACTCTGTTTCCCAAATGTTTTCTACACTGACATCTTATTAAAAAGATATGTTACCCGGTTCTTCCACATTCAGTGTATAAAATTCAACTTTAGTTGTGTATGTGTGGAGAAGATTCATAGGACCGAAACCATCCATTTGCATGGAAATCTCATCATTGCATTGCTTTGTGTCATTCTGGCTAGAGGGCTGGGAGGCCCAGGAACTCAGCACTCTAACTCCTCCATGACTTCCATGACAATTGTCCGTGGGCCGGTCAGGATCAGATTGCTCACAGTCCGGTAGTCTACGTGCAGGACATTGAGCCCGTTGACAGAGACGACAAACTGACAGACCTAAAGGAAAAATGCAAAGAAAGAGCATCTGTTACAGCACCTGATTTTTCACAGAGCCTTAATAAAGACACTGTGTAGCTCTCACAGGTAACTTCATTCTTAATATACCCAAATGTATCCAGCTGATGACTCCAATTCAATAATTTCCAAGGAGCTACACTTTTTCTGGAGGGCTGTATAATTTTTTTAAAAATCGTTTTAGTGTTTTACAAAATTGGGCTTAAATCCTAACTCAGAAACTTACTGTCTTAAGCTACGTATTTAAATTTCTGAGGTTTCATTCCCTCAATCCTAAAATAAGAATTAATAATAGTGGGCCGGGCGCGGTGGCTCATGCCTGCAATCCCAGCACTTTGGGAGGCTGAGGCTGGTGGATCACGAGGTCAAGAGATCGAGACCATCCTGGTCAACATGGTGAAACCCCGTCTCTA